TAATATAATTTGTAATTCGACCTTTGCTTGTATTTTTAGTAAATACTTTTTTATTAGATGTAGATGAAGTTGATATAACTAAAGAAGTATTAGTTGGTGCAACTAAAGCAGATGCAGATGTTGATACAACTGGGCTAGAAGTATCAGATATATTTATAGATATATTACTATTATTCTCTTCATATAAATCGCCAAAATAATTTTTTTTTTGCTCAGATGTAACTAGATCACAGTTTCGAAAATGTGTACGTGCAGCTCTAAGTGAATTATTAATTTGACTCTCACAATATTTACATTCTCTTCTCTTTTGTTTGAACCCAACCACATGTTCTAGTTGAATAAAATGAATCCATACTGGATCGGGCATTTATTAGAAAAAAATTTCTGTTCAAAAATTTTAAGATTTATTTTATTTAAAAAAAATTACTCGTAGTAATCTTTGCTTTGCACAAGATAAATATTTACTTCATACACAAAAAAAACTAGTTTTTTAACCTGTTTATTCATTGCAAAAAAAAAATCAAACCATATTATAATAGTAATAATAATATATTATACTAATAATTTTAGCATATATGTGATTTTAACATGAATTTTCATCTTATTTTTTTCAACTTACAGAATTTTTTATCTTTTTTCAGATTTTTTTGCTAGGTTGATTATTTGATAATCTTAGATTGTCAAAGTTCTTTAGAAAAGCTCATCAATTTCAATTTAATTTTGTGACTATAAAATATTGCCAAACCTAAGCAAACATATAATATATATTATACAATGTGGCTAAAAGAATAGACGATTTTTATTTTTTTGAATCCTGTTCTATAAGCCTTATTTTATTTTACACAAATAAAACAATTTAACTTATGAGTAGAGATGGGCATCATGCGCATGAATGCATTCATGCATGCACATAGTATGTATGACTGCCCTAGTATTAATGCCTTAGAAAATTTTTGGCCAATCTATTTTTGTATACTAACAGTTTTTTTTTCATAGAACATGATCATACAGGCGGCTTCGCCACCTGTTTTAATTATGTATAGAGATAGTTATATTTTCATAGTTAAAATAATTTGAATAAATGATAAAGCATTACTTGATAGACACCTTGAATAATCTATTCAAATACCTCAGTTTATAAATATTTATTTTTCATTTATATAGTCATAAGTGGAAATATAATTTAAATAGATTTAGATTTTCTAATTAGTTAGTTAGTTAAATTGAGGGTTAGGGTTAGGGATAGAGTGTACATATGATAAAATCAACCCTGAAAATGGGTTTTTATATAAATTTTGAATCCATTTCCATTACAACATATATATTCATATAGTAAAATTAAATAAAATAAATTCAAATTTCTTGATACCTAAATGTTTTATCTATTTTAATTGGTGTAAATAAAACTAAGTTAATTAAGTTGAACAAGAATTTACAAATTTAATGAATTAGAATCTTCACAAATTAATTTAGATGAAATGAATACTTAATTAATATAAATAAAATGGGTAGATGTTATTTTACTGACAATCACTAGAATACTAAAATAAAATAGTGTCCAATCTTGTTATGTAAAAAAAAAAGAAATATTCCCAGAACAACAACTGAAGTTTATGAGTTAGTCTGCGCGAAAGATATTTTTATAAATGATAATGATAGATATCAAAATATGTTTAATCCATTGATTTGCCATTTACAGATCATATAGAAAAATTTTATGAAGTATGTAATCTTCGATAATATATTAATCTTTATGAATAAATCTATAAAAATTCTATAAAAATTATAACATTTACTTTTATTTTCTTGTAAAGATATTGGGAAGTCAATGTCTTGATGCCAATATTATTGCAACACTTCGACATGCTGCTATGGAGATAACTTTAAGCACTTCTCATAAAGTAAAACAGAAAATTATAGAGAGAGTACCTTGGTACTAGTTTATATGATAATAAAACTGCAATCGACAGGGCTATGAAATTTTATCTCATAAGTTAAATGTTTTATTTGTGTGAAATAAAATGAGGCTTATAGAACAGAATTCAAAAAAATAAAAATCAACTATTCTTTCAGCCTCATTGTATAATACATATCATATGTTTACTTAGGTTTGGCAACATTTTATAGTTACGAAATTAAATTGAAATTGAAGAGCCTTTCTAAAGAACTTTGACAATCTAAGATTATTAAATAATTAACCCGGCAAAAAAAATCTGAAAAAAGATAAAAAATTCTGTAAGTTGAAAAAAATAAAATAAAAATTCATGTTGAAATCGCATATATGCTAAAATTATTAGTATAATATATTATTATTACTACTATAATATGGTTTGATTTTTTTTTTTTTGCAATAAATAAACAGGTTAAAAAAACTAGTTTTTTTTGTGTATGAAATAAATAGTCTTGTGCAAAGAAAGATTACTATGAGTAATTTTTTTTTAAATAAAATAAATCTTAAAATTTTTGAACAGAAATTTTTTTCTAAAAAATGCCCGATCCAGTATGGATTCATTTTATTCAACTAGGATATGTGGTTGGGTTCAAACAAAAGAGAAGAGAATGTAAATATTGTGAGGGTCAAATTAATAATTCACTTAGAGCTGCATGTACACATTTTTGAAACTGTGATCTAGTTACATCTGAGCAAAAAAAAAATTATTTTAGAGATTTATATGAAGAGAATAATAGTAACATATTTATAAATATACTTAATACTTCTAGCCCAGTTGTATCAACATCTGGATCTGCTTTAGTTGCACCAACTGATACTTCTTTAGCTATATCAACTTCATCTACATCTAATAAAAAAGTATTTACTAAAAATACAAGCAAAGGTCGAATTACAAATTATATTA